ACATGCAAAACAACAGAACGTGGAACTTATTTAACCAAACATAATTCTCATCCATCTAGAAACGAAAAGCAGCGCTAAAGACTGTTAGCCTTCTCTTTAGTACTTTCGCGAAGGTGGAGCGAGCATCTTCAAACCTTGAACTTAATAGAACGACAAGAAGCTTCTCCCTCCACCGTCTAAGTGTTATATCCACTAAAGCAAAGCTTAAGTATATAACACCAACAGGAAGTCCGCAGGAAAGGGAAAGGCGGTCATGAGTGACGCGCAACCTCGACAAAAGGCAAAGAAGCCGAAAGGCAAGTGCTACAACTGTCAGCAGAAAGGACACTTGAAGGCAAACTGCCCTCTTCCCAAGAAACCCAAAAAAGGTACTCCTTTTGATTTAGTCGTTGAAACATGTTTAGCGGTGTTATCTACCAGTACCTGGTGTGTAGATACAGGGGCCACTGATCATGTCTGCAATTCATTGCAGGGGTTCCAGGAAACCAAGCGACTTAGGGAAGGAGAAGTTACCATCTACTTGGGCGATGCTAGTAGAGCGTCAGCAGTTGCAGTGGGAGACGTCTATTTAGATTTTGGCTTAGATAGGTTTCTAGTTTTGAAAGATTGTCTTTATGTTCCCAGTTTTAGAAAGAATTTGATTTCAGTTTCTAAGTTGTTTATGAACGGATTTTTGCTACGTTTGATAATAAAGTTGTTATTCGTTTTGGCAAAAAGTTCATATGCTCTGGTTAATTAGTTGACAATCTATACATTCTAGAATCTAAGTCATCTCAACTGCAACAGAAACAGTTACTTAATTCATCATCTAATAGGAATAAGAGAAAGGAACCTTCTAAAATGAACGAAACATATCTTTGGCATCTAAGACTTGGTCATATTAACCTTAGGAGGATTCAAAGGTTGGTAGCAGACGGGCCCTTGGGGTCATTAGAAGTCTAGGCTTTTCCAACTTGTGAGTCTTGCCTGAAAGGTAAAATGACTAAGAGGGTATTCAGTTCAAAGGGGCATAGAGCCAAAGATGTGTTAGGGCTAGTTCATTCCGATCTATGTGGTCCTATGAGTATTCAAGCGAGAGGTGGTTTCGAGTACTTCATTACGTTTATCGATGATTACTTGAGATATGGGTACATTTTCCTTCTGCACCGCAAGTCTGAATGCTTTGAGAAGTTCTTAGAGTATAAGGCAGTTGTGGAGAAGCAGTTAGGAAAAATTATCAAGTCATTACGATCCGATCGTGGTGGCGAATATCTCTCGAATGAGTTTAGGAGCTACTTGACGGATAATGGGATTACGTCCCAGCTGACTGCGCCTGGCACGCCTCAGAAAAATGGCATAGCAGAACGGAGGAACATGACTCTTATGGAAATGGTTAGGGCAATGATGAGTTATAGTAGTTTACCAGATTCGTTTTGGGGATATGCCCTAGAAACAGCGGTATACATTCTGAATAGAGTACCTTCTAAATCAGCACTGTCTACACCATTGGAGTTGTGGTCTGGGCATAAGCCTTGTCTAAGGCATCTCAAGATTTGGGGTAGTCCAGCACATGTGCTAAGAACCGATACTGATAAGTTGGAACCGAGATCAGAAGTAAGGCTGTTTGTGGGATATCCTAAGGAAACGAAAGGTGGTATATTTTATAGTCCCGAGGACCAGAAAGTAATCGCTAGCACGAATGCTAGGTTCTTGGAAGAAGACTATGTCTTAGATCATAAGCCCAGTAGTAGACATGTTCTTGAGGAGTTAAAGGGAGTGAGTACTTCAATATCGAGTGCGCTAGATGTTACACCAAAATGTACTGCAACACGTATCGCTGATGATGCACCTGAGCAGGTAGTACCTCATCGTAGAGGGAGGGTTGTCCGGCAGCGCGAACAGTTCATGGGTCTGGGAGAGTCTTCTGAGGCCGTCCCAGACGTTCTTGAATCCGACCTATGGACATACAATGAGGCACTCCAAGATCGGGACGCAGAGTCTTGGCAAAAGGCGATGAAATCTGAAATAGAGTCAATGGACACTAATCAGGTTTGGGATCATGTAGAGCCACCCAGTGGCGTTCGCGCCATTGGATGCAAGTGGGTCTATAAGAGAAAGAGAGGAGCAGATGGGAAGGTTGAGACCTTCAAAGCTTGGCTTGTTGCGAAAGGGTACACTCAGAAAGAAGGGATCAATTATGAGGAAACCATTACACCGGTAGCCATACTGAAATCCATCAGGATTCTCTTGGCTGTGGCCGCTCATATGGATTATGAGATTTGGCAAATGGATGTTAAGACTGCTTTTCTTAATGGGAATTTGGATGAGGACATCTATATGCAGCAACCAGAAGGATTCATTGCAAAGGGCCAAGAGCATCTGGTCTGCAAGCTGAAGAGGTCCATTTATGGGCTGAAGCAGGCTTCGAGGTCTTGGAACATCCGTTTTGGCAAAGTTGTCCAATCGTATGGATTTACCCAATGTCCGGATGAGCACTGTGTGTACAACAAAAGTGATGGAAACGTGGTGGTGTTTCTAGTGCTATACGTGGATGATATTCTTCTCATTGGAAACAGTGTGAAAATGATGTCAGACGTATAGGTATGGCTATCCAAGCAGTTTTATATGAAGGATTTGGGTGAAGTAGGACATGTTCTCCGAATCAAGGTCATTCGCGACCGAGAGAAGAGAAAGTTGTGCCTATCCCAATCCACATACATAGATACTGTCCTAAAGCGTTTCAACATGCAGGATTCCAAGAAAAGGGATTTACCCTTTCGGCACGGAATACCTTTATCTAAGAGGATGTCCCCGAAGACGCCTCAAGAGATAGAGGACATGAAGGCAGTTTCTTATGCATCGGCAGTAGGAAGCCTCATGTATGCTATGTTGTGCACGCGACCTGATATTTGTTATGCCGTGGGCATGGTAGCAAGATATCAGAGTAATCCAGGACCGGAACACTGGTCTGCGGTAAAACATATACTCAAGTACCTACGTAGGACTAAGGAGTACATGTTGATTTACCAGGCAGATGAATTGCTTCCGTTGGGTTACACCAATTCTGAGTTCCAGGCAGACCGGGACGAAAGCAAGTCAACCTCAGGGTTTGTGTTTACTTTAGGAGGAGA